CCCACAGAGCCACTCAGTGGCTGATGAGGCCAATGTCAACACCCGAAGTGGTGGAGTCAAGGGCCTGTGGGTCCAGCATCTCCTCACTGTAAGTACAGAGGAGGGGGCAAGGGATTTAGCTCAGGGCCTGAGCCTGCCGTGCCTGCCTCTCAAGCACAAGGTCCTGAGTTCGATCCTCGGTACCAAAAGAGCAAAACAAAACACAACAGGGGAGAAAACTGAGGCAAACGGGTACCTGCAACCTCACCAGCACGGCTAGTGGGCCCTCAGAACATGGGGGAGGGACATTTTGTCCCACAATCCTTTCTGCACTGCCCCCCCCCGTCCTGTAGCCCAGGGCCCAGCCCTACACATAGAGCGGACTCCTCCTGCTCCTGAACACCCTAGATCTGCCTCACCTGGGCCTCTGCCTCCACCAGTGGGTGCCACACGTCTTTTATCACCTTCTCACGTTCATCACTGTGTGGCCCAACAGGCCAGGTTAAGGAAGAACAGTCTGTCTGCAGACAAGTCACCGCAGAGGAAATCCCGGAGGGCTTCTCTGGACCTCAGGGACGCACCGGCGTGGCCCAGCCCCAGGTGACCTAAAGACGGGCTGCTGCTGTCCCTCTCTTGAGGTGACACCAGGTTCCGAGAAGCAAATGGTCTTTAAACCAACCCCCCATAAATGTTTAAAACAGTGCATCTACTTGCACATTTTTAAGTTGACATCTAAAATTTCTCATCATCAGTTTAAATACTTGCAGAGGATGTAATTTCCAACATACTATAAATATTAACATTTTAAAATAAAACTGTTACTATTTCCCTTTTAAAAGGATCCAATGGAATCTAAATACCACAGTGATGTGAGATCCACCATCATCCACTTCGAAGTTATATAACCAAGCTCTTCTGTGACAGCTGGAAATCTAACAATGTTCCTTTTCTTCCTTGGATTTTAATTTCCAATTCACTTTCTTCAGTCATGTTTTTACTATTACAGTGTATTTTATGTTGAAAACCCTCTCATTGACTCTTCTATTATGGATAGATATAAATATAAAAGTGTTGCTATTTAAAAGTTTTTCCTGACCTGAATCTCTTTAAGTCAAATTTTTCGTCTGAACTGATTATTACAATTACTATTTTAGTACATAACTGATCAACATGACAGAAACATCCAAAACTACAAATTATAAGCATAAAAAATTAACTGTTAGAAATACAACTCTAAAGAGATGAGTGGGTCTTTCTTAAAAGTTATTTCAGGTATTCACATAGATGGATGTTACCTATTGCTAGAGTAAGACAAGACTTATCAATTCTATTTTCGTTTCTCAGTTTTTGTAGACACAGTGTTAAAATCACCTACTTACAAAAAAAAAAAAAAATACTGAGCCAGGGATTTGGCTCAGTGGTTCCGCTGCCTGCCTCGAAAGCCCAAGGGGGGGGGTTCAAGCCCTGGGGCCATTAAAAAAAAAAAAAAAAAAAAAAAAAAAAAAAAAACAAAGATGGAATGGAAAAAGATTTGCCATAGCAAATTCTCTGGAATTATATGCCAAGAAGTATAGTAATCTCTTATCAAAAAATCTTTTTTTATTCTGTAGTGCTGGGGATCACCTCGGGCTTTATGTGTGCTAGGCAAGTGCCACACTAGTGAGCTTAATGCCATCCCTCAAAAATCATTTCTAACGTGACATCAGTTGACAACTTGGTCAGTTTGTCTTTCAGCTGTGTTGCAAGCACGGAAGTGGAAACAGCTCCCTGGCTCAGAGTTACGAAGACCAGTCACCTCCCCTAACACCTGGAGGGCCTCGCACCCTGTGGTCCACACAGATGTTCAGGTCTCCTGTGGACAGTGACAGGTGTGGTTCTGCAGATCACCAGCCTCCATGTACCGGGCTTGGACCAACTCCATCACATGAATCAAGTCAGTCTTCACAATGATCCTGTGGAAACAGCCACTACAATCATGTCCACTTTACAGGTGGGCAGACTGACACGCAGAGTGCTTAGGCATAAGCTGGCCAACATCACACAGCCAGGGACTTGAACCCACAGGGTCTTTCTCATCACCATGCACACTGGCCACACAGAGGCACAACATGGAAGGGCAGCTGGGGAGACAAGGAAAGAGAGTGTATAAACTCCTTCCCCAGCCTACCAGCTGTGGCGCCAGACCAGCGCATGAGGAAGTAGACGACCTGCAAAATGAGGAAGTAGAGGACTTTCTTAAATATGCCCCCGCCTCCACCTGGAAAAGATCACACACAAATGCTCCTCTACAGTAAATGGTGTCAACACGCGGCACAGGCACACAGCAGTCCCCATAAATGTTAACACTGGTACTGCTGCTATTCCACAGCAGGAAGAAAAATTACTTCCATGGCCTGGACAAACACCACAGGATCAACTAGGCTTTCACAGTCTTGGATCTTAAGCCCAGGCCACAACATCCGTTTAGTTAGTAGCAAAAGGCCAGTAATGCTAGGCAGGGAGAGCTATAGCAAACAGCATGCCTACCCACAGCAGACCAACAGACCCACCCTCAGATCTCAACTGTACCAATGACCAGCAGGCCTGCTCACAACATGCTGAGCCCGAATCCACATCTTTAGGAAGGATACATCTCCACCCACATTGGGGTGGGGGTTGCTGCACAGAATGGCATGGAGGACGTGACACAGAAGGGCTGGGGTTAGCTGGGCGTGGCCAGCTCACCCTTACACTCACTAACATCTGAACCCAGTGACTGCAAAGCACCCATCTCTGCTTCCAGGGGCCACAGCCTGGGATATGGCAAACAGAAGCCCGGCTGATTTTTTAAAAAGCAGCCAAGTAGTATGGCTTCCAATTTTCACCATGGAGCCTTTCTCCATGCCTTAAAATGTAAAAGTTCTCCAAAGGCTGAGGGATGCCAGGAGGAAGTGCACTGGGAGGAACCGTGGTGGGCTTTATTTTTAGATGCTGGGATGGAAAGCATCCAATTTGGCATCACTCTGGTCCCCAGCCATCACTTCTGCCCCTGAGCAATCATCAAAATGCACAGCATCTCAAAAGATTTTAGAGTCCTTCTGCACAGCACACCCTGAAACAAGGGCTCCTGTCCCCAACTCCATCTCGAATGAGTGTGTGGAAAGTCTGGTCTCGGTCTCCCTGAGAAGCCACCCAAACCAAGCTTTCAACCTCCCAGTTGCCCTGTTGTGTTACAGTTTGGGATCAGTTTGAGGAAAGGGTGCCTCTTTCCCAGTCATGCAGGGAGACTGTTGTGCGGACAGGAACACACTTCCTCAGAAATGGATCCCAGGTGCAGTTCCTGGGGACCCTCATCAGTGGCTGCAGCGAACTGCAAGGAAGCTGTGATTTCCCACACATAGTGAGCACCAACTCCCAGCCAAGGGCTTGCTGATGGGTAAATGGCTTTTGCAAAGAATGAGGCTTTCCAAGGCAACCACTGAAACCACTGTCCCAGCATCCTGCAGTGGAAGTGGCCTGAGACATCACGAATCCTGCAATGAAGCTGCACTCCCTGGGCCCTTGGCAGCCCTGATTCTCATTCAATCACAGAATTCCCCAAATAGCCACAACCAAACTGCCTGGGAGTGCCCTGGAAGCACACTTCTTAGCCCTTCCTCAAGCCCAACTGTCACAGTGGATGGATGGAGAAATCAAGGTCATAGAAAAGGTCAGCACAAGTCATGCGACTCTGCAGAGCCAAGAAGAGCCAGGACAAAAAGTCTACAGGTGCTGAGAGTCTTCCACAAACTCCCTCCCCACCCCAAAAGAAACCTCGGCTCCTGGTGACAAATTCAACCCTCAAATCACCAGCAGAAAGGCACAAAGAAGAGTCCAGCAGTGCCTCCCCAGAGGTACCACCCCAACCCACGCTGGTGCTCTGGTCCTGAGAGCAACACAGCAGGCTTTCAGGAAACCACCTTCAGGGGATGTCAGAAGGCTCCTCGTCAGCCCTGATCTGGTCCCCAGCAGCTGCAGGCAGATGCACCTTGGAAGGGACAACAAGGGTGACAGCCCATGGGACTCACTACATCCTCACGAGGTGCCAGGCCAGCTTTGGTGGAGACAATCCAGCCTGCCCCTCATTGGTCTCAGTGTATTTCTGTGTTTACATGGAGAAAACTGCTTCCCATTCCATCTTCCACCAGTCATAACCACAGAGGCAAATGTACCAGCCAGAAGGCTCCCAGGCGTCCCCTCACTCCAGGTTCCTCTTGGAAACCAAATCTTCCAGCTCTCCTGAGATAGCTAGCTGCTGCCAGGTGTAGCTAATTCAGAGTCAGAGGGAGAGTTCTTCATCCATCTCTCCTTCCTTCCTTCTTTCTCTGCTTCCTGCTCCCTCGCCTCCATCCATCCTCCCCCCTTATCTATCCATCCAACCATCCTCCTCCTCCATCCATCCTTCCTCTCCCTCCCTCTACCTATCCATCCCATCCCTCTTTCACCTTTCCTCCATCCATCCTTCCTTATCTGTCCATCTCTCCTTCCTTCCCTCTCCTTCCCTCTATCGTTTATTCCTCCATCCATCCATCCATCCATCCATCTTCCTTCTCCTTCCATCCACCCAGCCCTCCGTCCTTCTCCTCCCTCCCTCTCTCTCTCCATCCCTTCTTCTATCCAGCTGCCATTCCTTCTCCAGCCAATAAGCCCCTGACCCAAGTCCATCCAGGGGACAGAATGAGAAGAAACCTTTCTGAGTAGCCACTGTCCCTTCATCCATCCCACCCCAAACCCAAGCACTGCCATGCCCCCTCCACTCCCAAACTAATGCCATCTAGCCTCCTTCTCTGACAAAAACCATTATAAATCTCCACAACCAAGCAGCCAGCAGTCAAGAGTCTGCGCTCAGCCTAGGGCAGAAAGTGCAACGACTCCTCAGGGAAAGTCACAAACCAGATGCATACAAAGAGAGGGCCAAGCATCCAGACACTCAAGGAGATGGGAAAGCTCACACCAGGAGGTCCCTCTACTTGGAAAATGGTGGGTATATGGTCTGTACTCACCTGGACGACCTCTATGCCTCGTTTCCTGTGGAGAAAAACAAAGAAAAAAAGCATTATTCCAGCAGGCAGGAAGCATTCTTTCCAAAACGTTCGCTATGGCTGAAGCAGGATGACAGGATGGGGCAGGAAGCTGTGGGAGGAGGACCAGCAGTCATCCTCTCACGCCATCCCCATAGTGGCCTTGTTTTTGAGGACCAGGTCTCCAAGCACCCAGGCCCCACCACAACCACCCATAGCCTAAAAGAGGGTTGGTTCCCAAGGACATGGCTGCAGTCCTATGACATGGACAGCAGCTGTCTCCCTGGGACCTCGGGCCAGGCCTTCCTAGTGGAGTCCAGATCACCTGACACTCTCCCCACCAGCAAATGCAGCACCAAGGCCTGCATCCTTGCTCAGCTCAACCACTGCCCCTGGCTCCCCACAATTTACGACCACAGGTGGACACTGCAGCCTGGTCTTTCTACTCTCATCGGCAGGAAGCCATGGCTTCTTCCCTGTCCTGCACCAGCTGGTTCATCCATCTTGGCAATCTTTGGTCCCTGCCGACTCTCTGCCCATTCCTTAGCCCCTGGTTCACCCACAACCTTACTGACCTGAACTTTATGTCCCCCACCCGGCCCTGTCTCTCCCTCCATTAATCGCAGGACCCCTAATGGTCCATGTGCCTGACTCACCCTCACCTGATCTAAGACCCTGGGGCGTGGGCCTGGGTAGGGATCTGCCCAAGGCAGACAAAGGCTCCTGCTGGCCAACCACCTTCATCTCCCTGCCCCACATTTCCTACCACAAGCTTCAGCCTGGGCCCATCCAGTGTGGTCCCATGTCTCATCCTTTGCTTGGGTGTACACTTTCACCCCAGCCCTTTAGGACTCAGCTCTGGTAGACTCTCCCAGGAAGCCTTCCCTGGCCAATAGCACCTTCCCCACCGATCCACACAACACTCCCCAAAAACTCGGGATCCTATTCCCTTTGTTCCAGAGCATGGACTGCTGCCACCCAGGAGGCACGCTGGGGTAAGGATGAGACAGAGGCAGCATGGAGCGCGCGTGCGTGCATGCGTGCATGCATGTGTGTGTGTTTGCAGTACTGGGGTTTGAACCCAGGGCCTTCACACTGAATTATATTCCCAGTCCTTTTCTATTTTTTAATTCAGAGACAGGACTTCACTAAGTCACTAAATTGGCCAAGCTGTGCTGAAACTTATGATCCTACTGCCCCAGCCTCCCAGAGTGCTAGGATTACAGACCCTTGTGCCATCAAACCTGGCTGTGCTATGCACATTTTGCTAAGAAGGACCTCTGGCAGATGCTCAGAAAAGAGTGGCCAAATTCAAAACTGTACACCCACCCAACATACAGACACTCATAAACCATTGCTGGTTACTGAAAGGACACATACATAAAGATGTAGCCTGGCATGCTAAGGATACAACAAACGTACCAGGCAATCTGGGACCTTGTAGGGCTTATGGCCTCTGGGAGGAGACAGGCACAAAGGAAACCTCCAGGCAGTCATGAGCAGGTATCACATATCATCCCCAAGGCTGAGGTGCCACCTACCCCTTCCTATACCCGGGCACTACTTCCTCTCAGCAAATTACAAACACCTGCTGGGGACTGCTCCTGCACTGGATTCTGCAGAGCAAAAACTGGCGGTCTTGGGAGACCTGAGGGGCAGGCTCTGAAATCCTGCATCAGCCAAAAATTTCAGAAAGAGAATCATAAAACTAAAAGGGAAAAAGAAAAAGCAATGGATATGGGATGGGGTCATGGAGGAGGGGAGAGAACCTGGAGAGCTGGTTGTCAAGTGGTCAGCCGTTCCCCCTGGAAACCCCAACTCCACCACCCCACGTCATCACACCATTTGCACACCAATGTGCAAAATGCTTCAGGCTCTGAGATGGCAGCCACCAAGGTGTCTGTGATTTCAAAAGCCTGGCAACAAACTACATGTCCCCAAGAGACACCTCCACTAACAAACCACAAGCCATTAAAGGAATAGCATGAAGTAGTAAAAAAGAACAGGAAGTGCTCTGCTTGCTGGTAAGGAATTATCTTCAAGATCTTACCACATGAAAAGTACAAGTACAAAACCTTCTATTTTGTATGCAACTACCTGTGTTAAGAACAACATCCAGAGCAAGGATGTATGCTTATGTATACACAGAATGAATGTGAAAGTGCTACAAGAAAATGACCCAGCCTGGCCACTGGTCAAGGGCAGAGACAACTGGGGATTAGGGTGAGAAGGAGATTCCTTTTCACTGTTTTTGAATTCTGTGCCAGGCGCCTGTAACGTAGTTTCAAAAACTAGAAAGACATATTTTAAATTATTTTCTAGACAATAAGCAACACTCTAGTTGCTGGCTTTTCCCGTGCTGACACAAAGAGGGTGTCTGATAGAAATACAAATCAACTGATGATGAAACAAAGAAGAGAACTCAGGGTTTACCACGAAAATCCCCCCAAGTTCTACTGAAAGAGGCACTGCAGTAACACACGCTCAGGGGCACAAGGCCGCCACACGGGAGACTCAGTGCACACTTGAACTCACCAAGAAGGGCACACACTGATGCAGTGTTACTGTAGCTACAGCAAAGTGATGTGTGAGATTATTTCTCCTCGATATCCTCTTGCATTTTCCGTGTTTCCTACAACAGGCATACACACTATTTCCAATGCTACAGAAAAAGTGACAACAAAAAACTAACAGGGCCGGGGAATTTAGCTCAGTGGTTCCACAACCTGCCTTGAAAGCACAAGGTCCCGAGTTCAATCCCAGGTACAAAAAAAAAAACTAATAATTTTAAAAGTATTTTATTAAAAATCCGTACCTGGAGACAATTTTGATAGACTTTGAAACCTATTTTCTTCACACAGACTGCAATACTAAGTTTGGAGCAGAGGTCTAGCCCATAACTCATAAACTTGCTTTTCCAAAGCAGGATCCCAACAAAGAGGGTGGGGTCCTTTGCAAAAGGACCTCTGTCCCCAGAAGTGCAAAGAGAGTACACCCTTGAGGAGTTTAAAGTATAGAATGATCTATCCTTTCAGGGGAAGAGGGATCAAAATCAGAAAAGAGGTAGCGTTTGCCACCTGAGTAGGCAACAGAAGGGTTAACTAAGACAGGAATTCGGGACACTGGTTAAAGAGAAACAGGTTAAAGAGAAACACCGACAGTGGCCTCCCAGGGAGTGTCAGGGCAAATGGAAGCGTAAGACCCATCAAGGAGCAGGCAGGGCATAAGAAGCAGGACAGTGATGTAGGCTGGAGCACACCCTAAATGCCTGAAACTGCAAAGCCCAGCTTTGACCATCAGACCCTGGTCTGATGCTCCCAAACATCGTTAAGAAGCAGGACAGTGATGTAGGCTGGAGCACACCCTAAATGCCTGAAACTGCAAAGCCCAGCCTTTACCCTGGTCTGATGCTCCCAAACATCCGGGAGGTGACCTGAGAATCACTACAGAAGCTCATCAAAACTATCAGTAGGAGGTCTACTCCCAGGGCTCTGATTCAGGAGGTCTGGGCAGGGCCTGGGAGGTTTCTCACACCTCCAATGCCAGGCAGGAAAACAGCTGCTCATCCATAAGGTGCAACTCTACAGATTTGGCTTTGATGTGCAAAATTGGTCTTGCTGTGTTGGATTGATTTGCTGGGGGAGGATATGCACTCAGGAGCAACCGACCAGGTCTCAGGACAAGAGTAAAGGAGACAGAAAAACTAGAAATAGCTATGGTGCTTAGAGAAGAGCAGGCTGAGGCACCGCACCAGGACACTGCAGGGAGATGGTAGCAGTTCACTTTCCAACCCTACTAGCACCAGGCAGTGGTTAGTTACAAGCCCAAGAATGATCTTAGCAGACAGTCCTTAATGCAACATGGGAGGCAGGAGGAAGTGATGGAGGGAGGGAGCCCCCAACAGAACATGGGACCAGCCCCAAATGCACCTGGAACCTGGGTTTCCCATCTGTCACATGAAGACAGCCCTAGCACCCACCCAGGAAGACTCTGGAGGAAGAAGAGTCCAGGCTCAGCACAACACCTGGCTATACTGGGGACATGGACTTGGTTACCTTTACTCTACTACCCTGTGTTGGGGAAATGCTCCTCCACTATCCCACCTGACTCACAAGGCTGCCCTCTCACTCCAGAGGTGGGCACATGGACGCCCATCTCACTTGGCTGCAGAATTGGCGTGGCACCCACCCAGGACAGGCCAGTCCTGATCCTTCTCAGGATAGGTCCTGGGGAGCTATCAACATCACATATGGCCCTGTTGGGAAACATGGATGACACTGTTGCCTCTGAATGCCCAGAATCTAGACTAGACAGAGGCCAACCCAGGAGAAGAGGCCTGCAGAAGCAGACAAAGGTCCTCGCTCTCCTGCTGGAAGGTAAGGCTCCAGTCCAGCCCACAGCCAGTCCTCTCTGTGCCTGCACCTATGGATTTCTCCTTAAGCCAATCAAGCTGAGTTTCTATCTCTCTGAGTGACAGCACATCCTGAGGACGACAAAAATTGTCCTGGGTGACCTGGCACTAAGGCAGAGATGATAAAGGAGGCCAGGCAGACCAAAAGGGGAAATAGAAGAGAGCAATGCAGATTTCAGATAGGTGGCCATGGAGTTCACGTAAGGCCTGACACAGCCACAGGGAGCAACACGGGAAGGTTAACAGGGAAAACCAAACACAGGCCTGCTTCACAGCAGAGCAGCAGGCACAGGATGTGTTGTTGAGCCTTGCTGGGTATCGGCTATGACATCTGCTAAGTGTATAAGACCTTCCTAGCCAGGGGGCACTTCAGGGGCAGCTGTGATGCCCATGGGCTGCACAGGCAAAGTGCGTGAGATGGAGAATCAGCACTGTGAGAAGGAGGGTCCCCCACCACCAACAAGGACAGTAAAGTCCACTGTCAGCTAGGTGAATTCTAGGCAGAGACAGCAGAGCAATAACCAAAAATGAAGTCTGCCAAAAAGGAGGCCCTTGGTTTCAAGAACTGCTCTTCTGCAACACTCAGGCTCAGAGCC